TTGCAGTCCTCTTCCATTCTGGTTGCTTTGATCATGGAACCGCCTTGAATTCCTTAATTGGCTTTAATCTCCTTGACGTTTCCTTTAAGGCCCTATATAATCTAGTCTTCACCTACATCTCCACTTTTTAGGGAATGAGGAATTTAAAAAAAAAAATTCTTCCTAATCCTCTTTCCTTGTGCTGCATTTTTCTTTCTTCTACTCTTGGCTTCTAATTTGCCCCTTATTCTTGGAATGGTCTTCCTGTCTTACCTGCTGTACATCCACTTATTCAGATCTTTCCTTAAAACCCTCTGCTTCCCTTTGTGCCGCCTCATTATCTAGATTTCCTGGATACATGTCCTCTGTCTTGTCGTCTTATTTATTAATAAATATTTAAGAGCCTAGTGTTCTCTATACTTTGACACAGTAAGCTCTTTAGGGCAAGGATCTTGTCCCACTGATGTATATTTATGGTACTATATAAGTGATTTTTAATATTTTCTTTAGCATTTTGTGGAAACTGTTTATGGGAGACTGATGTATCTTTCACATATTTGAGCTCACAGACGCATTTAAATACATCTGTCTAGAAATTAAATTTGGAAAGAAAAATGCACAGTAATCGGGGAGCTATCCATACCTGCCTTCTCAAGCAATTCCATTGGGACACCAAAGTTCATTTTCCTTGCAATTCTGAGCAGTCTTTTTACTATACTATGTTGCCTCTTACCCCAGTTCTCACTCTGAGTTGCAGATATCCACCTAAATGGAGAAATGTGTGCTCACATCTAAGCCTGACTAATAGGCCTTTCTGTGGTAATATGCTCTGTTAGTGGTGGGGTGTTTACTATTAAAGCAGGAACAAAAAAACCCCTTAATTTCAATAAACAAGAGAAATATATGTAGTGAACTTGGGGAAAAGTGTCTTTCTATATCAAACTGTGCCAAACATGATCTGAGTCTCTTGAAATCAGTATATTTAGAAAAATCAATCACATTCTAATATAGAAATTGTAATTTCCTTACTTTAAAATTGAACAAATGAAAGGATCATATTTTTCAAGACAAAAACTGGACAAGGTATTGATCCATGGGAGACCAAAAAAAATTATTTTCTAAAAGATTAAGTCTTGAGAAAAGGAGCAGGATAGTCAGTTCTTATGTGTAATTGGGAATACCAGTAGTGCAGAGTTGTAATGACATTTGGATTGGATGATCAGTCTATCACTCCAGGGAAATGTGTGTTGGTCAAACAAAAGGGGTAGGGCAAGATAGTTTAATAATCAAAAATGTACACTTTTGTCATTAGTTACTTGAAATTAATAATCTTTCTTCAGTTGCCTAAAGTAGAGTGACATCTGTTTGCTCCACACGTTCTGTTGAGCTCCCAAGGACATTTCTCCGTCTTCCTTCCCCCAGCAAAATATTGCTCTATTTTTCTTCTACGTGTGCATATGTTAGTTTTTGACAATTAATCATTTTTAAGCATCAGTTCTATGAAAGAGATAAAAACAAAAGCATTATCTGAGTTTCTAAATATAATGTAACTTCTAGTATTCACAGTTTCTGGAAGATTAATTGCTTATCCAGTTTTCTCTTTCATCAGGTGATTGCACAGTGCTTAACAATTATGAAACAGCAGAAGTACCAGACTGTATCTCTGCAACGATACCCCGTTATCAGACTGTAATCAAACTGCCATTGGCAAATAATTGGATTTTTAAGAATGCCAAAATACAATTTTTTAAATGGAAGTGATTTTCTAACAGTTTGATACCTTTAGTATAACTTGAATTAGTTCTAGAAACTGTCAGTATACAAAAAGGAAGCTCAGATTTCAGGTTTGTATATTGATCCTTGTTGCGCTAGCAAATTTGAAAATTATACTGTATGAAAAGAACAAGGAAAATGCAATTAATAAACTTTTGGATCTTGACACTTGTTCTGTGTAATGAAACAAACTCCTTTGTGCAAAAACTATTCTTGGGTTATTAACATTCACACTTCGTATATGAAATGTAAGAGCAAGCTGTAGTTTCTCAGTCTACAATAACAAAACAATTAAAAGTAATAAATTGAGTGGAAGCTGATACTAAAAATAAAGGCTTTACTCTTCCCTGCATATTTGCTTTAAAGTCACTATACCAAGAGTGGGCAAACTATGGCCTAGGGGCCGCATCCAGCCCTTCATACATTTTAATCCGGCTCTCGAGCTCCTGCTGGGGAGCAGGGTCCAGGGCTTGCCCTGCTCTGGGGTTCCAGCTGGGAGCAGGGTCGAGGGTTCCACGCAACTCCTGGAAGCAGCAGCATGTCCCCCCTCCAGCTTCTAAACATAGGGGCAGCCAGGGGGGCTCCACACGTTGGCCCAGCTCCAAGCACCACCTCCACAGCTCCCATTGGCTGGGAACTGTGGCCGATGGGAGCTGCCTAGCTGCATCTCCGTGTAGGAACCAGAGGGGGTTGAGGTAAGTACCAACCAGAGCCTGACCCCCTCCCATACCCCAACCCCCTGCTCCAGCCCTGATCGCCCTCCAAACCCCTCAGTCTCAGCCCAGAGCACTCTCCTGCACCCCCAACCCCTCATCCCCAGCCACACACTCCTCTGTATCCCAGCCCGGAGCCCCCTCCTGCACCCTGAACTCCTCATTTCTAGCCCTGCCCCAGAACCTGCATGCCCAGCTGGAGCCCTCACCCCCTCCCACACCCCAACCCCCAGTTTTGTGAGCATTCATGGCCTGCCATACAATTTCCATACCCAGTTGTGACCCTTGCGTGCACTATACTGTCAAACTTCTTAGCATTCATCAGTGTAAACAGGGGCTGAAGGGATCCATCTTGCTTCTGAACTAGTTTGTTGTGGAATTCTTTTATGATACACTATAAATCTGCATCACTGTGAGTCTGATCCAGGGCCCTCTAAATGTAACAGGGGTCTTTCCATTGACTTTTAATAGGCCTTGGATCAGACCAAACATTCAGAGATCTAGTCTCTCCATACTGTTGGTAACATTTAGCCAGTACTAGGTGTTCAGTTAGTTAAAAGAGACACAGTGAGTCAGCAAATAGGGTACTGACCTGGGAGACAGGAGCCCTGGGTTCTGTTTCCAGCTCTCCTGCCTATGTGGCAAGTCATTTCACCTCTCTGTACCTCAGTTTCCTCATCTGGATAGTCATGATAATGATGTACTCCTTTGTAAAGTGTTTTGAGATCTATGGCTGCAAAAGTATTTTATGATATGACCCAAGTACTGTTACAATCTGAAGGCTGTTTGGCCTATGTGAAATGAATCAATGTTGAAAGAGACCTCATAAAAACTAGTCCTGGAATTGGCACTTTTGTCTCCATTCAGTAAAGGTCAAGAATCCATTTGGTATCTGAAAACTTTAGATTCAGTCTTTCCTCATAGGATGTGAGGTACCTTAGCAGGGCAATGTGGGGCAACTTAACTAGCCCCCCTGACCTGAGACTTGGACCTATTCTGCAAATAGAAAAATTCAAGTTCTAGTTGTATCAATCTGAAATCATTCACCAGCAGAAGTAAGTTTGTTGGAGTAGAAGACAGTGAGGACAAAAACCTTTTCTTTGCATCTTTTGCATGTGCTAAGAAAACAGGAGCTAAATGCATCTCACATGGGAGTTTTGATAGTGACAAATTACTGTAACAAGTTCTGGGATAACAAAGCTTTAACAGACAATATTACTTCAGCTCAGGGTCTGAGAAAGTAATATTAAAGCTGGAATATTAACAGCAAAATAAAATTTAAACAATGTTTAAATAACAAGAATACTATTAATTATGTAACATAACTGTCTTGTCAGCTCTGGCATAGAATTCCATGAATTCAGTGTCAAATAATGCCATTTTACCCAGAGGCTGGCTGCTAGTAAGTCTGTCAGTTATGAACTGTAACAGCTTTATTCTTCATATAGCCTTCTGGATCTTTGCATCAAATACAAACACTGAGCTTAGCTGACTGGGCACATCATTATTTTAAATTTGGATTTGGAGGCTGGCAGGACTTTTGAGAGTCATAAGAGTACTTTCACCCTGGCAAGCAAGTGGTCAATATTTAAGTCCAAACTTCCTTTAAGTTTGGATTTTGATCTTGGTCACTTATGCAAACATCCTGCTACATGCAGTATTTGGAAGGTTCTGCTCCCTAAATTCGGAGAAAAGCTGAGGGGGGGGGATTTTCTTTCATATTTGACTGCTTCTGGCTGCTATATGTTTGGAAAGGGGACTTGCTCCTTAACTGAAGGGTGTAGTTGGGACATGAACTGTTACTTTGTTGGCTGCATCTTGCAAAATTTCTTTGGAGTGAGTGTGTCATCAAAGGAGAAAATGCTGTCTCTCAAAGCCATGGACTTACTGTCTCATAGATGGATCCTGGTTCTCAAAAACAGCCCCAGGAAGGATAGTAGTCAACTTGAATGAGTTTATGGTGGCCCCACTCAAAAACATTGGGTTTTAAAAAGCTAATACAGTGAACTGGAATTTAGTCAAATCAATACATTTTTATACAGGATAAAATAGCCTCCTCAAAGTCATTAGAAGACACTCGAGCTTGTTCCACTGATGTTTAGACTCTGCAACACACTGAATTTCACATAGTACTGTTTCAAGTGCATCTCTGCCCCAAAGTTTAAAGAGAGGTTCTTTACAGAGTTAAAGTTTTAAAATGCTCAATGCTGCTTGTTTTAAAATCCTGTTGATGATTTTGCAAGGCTGAAAAATCTGATGAGAGAATACTTAAGTGACCATCAAGAAAAGTGAGAGACTGGGAGGTAATATCTTTTATTGGACCAACTTCTGTTGGTAGAGACAAGTTTTCAAGCTGCACAGTACTTCTTTAGGTCCGAGACACTCAGAGCACCTTTCCCAGACCTAAAGAGTGCTGTGCAGCTTGAAAGCTTGTCTCTTTCGCTGACAGAAGATGTCCAGTGAAAGATATTATGTAGTCCACCATGTCTCTCTAAATTCTGGGACCAACACAGCTAGAAAACAATACCACAAACATCAAGAAAAATGAAATTCTCAGTCTTAATGAGTTTTACAAATCAAAGACACTGAAGGAACATAGAATATTTGAGTTTTTGTAACTAGAAATGTATCTTCAAAGTCAAAAAAGCAAATTACAATAAGTACACTGAAGAGAATAGTCACAATCTTATGAACGTTCCATGGAAGGTAACAGGAATATTCATCTCCACTTCAGCTCTGGCAACTTCACTCATATCCTTTGCATTCAGTATCAGTAGATAGGCAGGCTTCTGTCCTGCTCCAGGGTTAACAATCACACTCAGAACGACACCTAGCAAGCAGAAGTAAATATGATTTATATCAACAAAAAGCACATGGCCTTCAAGGTAACTCACTAGGCTCTCACTTGGACACCCACTAACCTCCAAGTGGCAGAACTATCAGTTACTTCCAGAATCCTGGCAGAGCACAGCTATTACTAAAAGCATGGAGGCCATGAAACTGCTATTGAAAGGAAAAGGCTTTTCCTCTTCAGAAAGCATTCTGGATTTTTACTTGCTTTTCCAATAACCCAGTGCTTTTTGGATTTCTGAGGCAGGTTCGCTATAGCATGGCAGCTCCAGCCCAGTGTATAAAATGTTTTCAAAGCAGGGCTTTATTCTAAAGATGACCATAAAAATGATATTGCAAGATCCTGTGACAACTGACCCTCAGAGTTCATATCACATTAGAAGTAGAAAGGGAAAATTATTTGCCCTAGAAGTAAGGCTAAGATTTCTGTCACACATATTTTTAGTAAGTCATGGCCAGGTCATGGGCAATAAAGAAAAATTCACGGAAGACATGACCTATCTGTGACTTTTACTAAAAATATGCATGACAAAATGGGGAGCTGCAGGGTCCCCATGCCACTGGTAACTCCAAGCTCAGGGGACTCCCGCCACCTGCAGTGGCTCTGGCTCGGAGCTCCAGGGCACCTCTGTTGGCTGTGGTGCTCCATGATCCCAGGCACCCCCACCGCCTGCAGGACCGGGAGCTGCATAGCACTCCTGCCACCCGCAGTGACTGGGAGCTGCGAGGCACGCCTGCTGCCCTCTGCTGCTGGGAGCTTGGGCCTGAAGTTTCCAGTCACCAAGGTTGGCTGGGACCCTGCAGCTCCAAGGCGCCGGGGGCTCAAGTCATGGAGGTCTCTGGAAGTCATGGATTCCGTGACTTCCATGATCTCCGTTACAAAGTCATAGCCCTACTTTAATTCTACTTTTCTGATCTTCACTTCTGGGCTGACGTGTGAGATGGGCAGAACTCCCCTACCTCTTAAGATTTTTTTTTTTTTTTTTAGCAGCCACTCAAAGTAGGGTAGAGCATGAGACAGGAGAGGGCCCTATTCCCTTCTGCCTATCACTCCGTTGAGTCCAACTAGCCCTCTTCACTGATTTTCAATCTGCCTCCATACAAGTGGCAGGAACTGCTGCCAGTGTCCTTAAACTCAGGCACTGGTACATTAAGCCCACATGCTGACAGCAGAGTGCCACAGGAGTGCTGGAACATGAGAAACAAGCACCTGGTGCAAAGAAAAAAAAATCTGAGGCATGGAAAACAGAGTCACTAAGGTACCAAAAAATGATCAGTGACTCGTGAGGGCAGAGACAGTTGCTGCAGCATCAAAGAACAATGTCAAAAGTCTTGGGACAAAGACTGTAAAAATGTAAGCACTGAACCAGAGTCAATGTTCACCTAATGCCAGAAAGCATGCAAGAGTGTGCTTAAGTTCCATTTAAGTAAATAGCAGTTAAGGATATGCGTAAGTGCTTTCGTGAATTGAGCACATAGTGGGTGAAATTTTGATTCCATTTAAGTCAATGGGAGGTTTAGCTGTTGACTTCAGTGGGGTCAGGATTTCACCCAATGTCTTTTAACCATATTTTGGGAGACAGGATGATACAGGAAACCATTGGGATAGCTCCTTACCTTTACGCGTGCTGCTGCTCATGCTCAGTATTGGTGCACAAGAGTGCAGCTGCCCAGAGCCAGCTTGCACTATGCCTTGTGCAAACTGGTGCTCTGCATCCTACACTGACACAACCACGAAATTCACTCCTCCCCCAACATTAAGACTAAACCAACATTTGTTCTTACGTTTATACTTTCATAAAACTCTGCTATTGGAATTGCGTCTAATATTGTAATTCCTGATAGAAATGCTCAAGAGGAGGGACAAATTCACAATACCCTCAAACTCTTGCTTCGTCAGTCTTGGCCTCTGTTCTATATTCAGAAAGTCCTCCCAATTGTTTTAGACAGTTTTGCTTCACAGTAATGAAAACCACTCTCTCTTTAACTTGGCAATTTATTGACTGTCCCTCTAAAGGACTTGGCATTCAAGATAGCTCTGGGTCCCTGGGTCAGTGGATTCAAACTTATAAAAGAATCTAATTGAGCAAAAGTAAACATAACCTAAGATCATTTACCATCGTCCTCTTCCAGGGCGTCTGGATGTGAAACAAAGATAGGCTCTGATGGGTATGAATCTGGTTCCTGCCACACCCAAGTCTCTTTCGTTTTAACATTCAGCTTACAAAGCTGCAAAGGGAGAAAAATCATCTCAGTACGGCTCCTTGTTAATTTTGCCTTAAGATAACATGCCTTAAATCAAACATGTCCTCATTAGAATATCAATAGTTACCCTGTCTGGAACAAAGTGATTCAATCCAAGGCCATACGTGTATGTATAGGGTTTTCCAGCATATTTCTTATAATTGATTTGTGGAAACTCAAAGGCTAGAAAATGAGAGCACACATTTTCTGGGATTAGTGGGTTTCGGATTTAGTAAACTCCTTTTGCTGCCTATGGCTGAGGTTCAGATTTAATATCTTACCTTGGCGAGCCCCAGAGAAAAGAATCTCTGGTTCCAGCCAGATTGTTTCATCACTGTGCAGAGTTGCAGTTGCTGTTGTGTAGGGCAAGGTGACCAAATTCTTACCTGTGTCGGCCTAGAACAAAGAGAAGCAACCACTTTTGAGGAACAAAGGAACAACTGCAATTCAAAACTCTGTTTATTTTCTGCACTTTTGCACCACACACTGTCTAATGTTTATTTTCTTTGAACACCAGCAATGCAGTTAGTGATGTACAGCAGAACCTTGCTAAGCAGCAAAATTTATAATTCACCTACACAAAATGGCTGTCTCTTCCCATTTCTCAGTTAACACTTAACAGCAAGGTGCTTTGATGAGAGCTCATCTCCACAAGATTTTGTTAGTTTTACAAAACATATAGCTGTATGTTTCCCAGCATACTATGAAGTCTCAGGACATAATTGAAACTAAGATATAGTTCCCAAAACAAATAAGCAAAGTACAACCTGCAGTTCAGTATCCTTGACTTTTCAATTTGGATTTACTGGCTCATTTTTACAACTCGCAAATTCACATGGGTTTCCCATTGGCTAGTGTAAATTTGGGAGGCTCTGCTGCACTATATCTGATCATGAGCAAAATCCACATTTTGTTTTCCTTAAAAGAATGAAAACAAAGAGAGAAACCTGGGGCCAAATTTTGGTCTGTTACTTAAGTGTGAATCAGGAACCAATGGATTTACATTGGCATGAGATCAGAATCAGGCCGCTGGTCCTTAGGGAAGAGGTTTCACAAAGAGAAGGTAGGTACCCAATGTTCACTGAAAGGCAATGGAACACAGGGGCCTAATTCTTCTTGAAAATCTTCCCTAAAGTTATCCTGAGGTAATTAACTGCTAACATATGTACATGTATATTTTAATTAAATTATATGAGGTGTATGATATATAGTGCCACTGAAATTCACTGCTTTTAGGCCAATTTACTTGGTTGGAAGTGTCACCCCTGGTCTGTTCTCAACACAGTCAGGATTGAGAGCAAAGATTAGTTTTAAAAATCATCTAGAACTATAAGGGTGAAATGTAAGGGCCCCTGCTTTACAAAATCTAAGTGGGGTGGGGGCCACAGGAGGAGCAGATGCACAATGGACCTCGGCACTCTGTTTGCCAGGGAAATTAGCTCTGCAGCCGTAGGTGCTGGAACTTAGGGTGCAGCTGCAACCCCTGGCTTAAAGTGGTTTCCATTAGATTCAAGATTTACAGTTTGGTTAAAAGGTTCTCAGCACCCCCCACTATAAAAATTGTTCCAGCACCTCTCTGCTGTTTCTCTGAATATAGTAGCTTAGAAGGGAGCAGTAGGACAAACTTGTTCAACACAGGCTGCTTGGTCTGTAAATTCAGAGGCCACAAACCTTGTGTTGAGGCTGGTCATGTGTCAGAATCCCAACACCAGACCAGGGGGTGGGAATGGATTTCATCCAGAAAGTTCACTCCAGCCGTGTCTGCTCTCTGCAAATACGCTAGCAAACAAGATGGCTGACAAATTATTCACCCACCTCCAATCAACACACTACAGCTTCTGGAAACCACCCTATCATAGAAGAACTGCACTTACACCTTGCACTTCTCTATCTTGGAAAGCAATACATGGGAACTTTCTGTGGGACAGACACTGTTAGAAAGTTATGGGTGGTTTTCTATTTCTATGAAGACAGATTTTTAAGGGGTTTTTCCTTCAAAAGAAATTTAAACTAAGTTACACGGGAAACAGTCTGCAACAGATTTGCAGGAGCCATGCAGGCTGTAGCATTTCAGAGAACTGAATGTAGTTAAACTTCCAGATATGCATAGCCTAGTCAAACTGTTACCTTGTCAATGTTTAAGGGAAGGACATATCTGCGAGCTTCAGGCTGAGGAGCTTTTTCTGCATGTTTCTTCACTTCTTCCCAATTGGACCGCAAATTGGCTAAGTACAGATAATTGTAAACAAACTCAAACCTGCACAAAGACAGAATCAGAAATAAGAACCAGAACAATTGTGTGTCATTTTAGAGAGACGAGTTCAAAATGCATCTGTTCATTCCCACACCTGCAACAAGTGAACAGGAAGGTCTGATAGGGCTCCTGATGCAGTGTTCTTTGGGGGAAGAGTTGTGTGTGCACAACACTGCCCTCTACTGGACGGAATTAAGAACTGTTCAGCTGCATGTCACAGGCTCCATACAAGTTAGCTGATTTTGGAGCAGGAGAATCCCACTTTTGCACTTGGTGTCACCATGAAGTTTTGAGTGTCCATGGTGCAGAATCACTGCTGGAAAGTTAAAGTCTATACTGACAGATTTATTTCTGTATTTCTGTGACTATTGCCTATCACCCTAAGAAAATTAATCCAGACTTGTGCCCATCGGACTAGCAGTAGCAGAGGTATTTGAACAATTAATACCATTTACTAAAGCTAACAATGAACTGAAAGCGTTGGTAAATAAGTTATTAAAACTTCACAAAATCCTCCACACACACTAGTAACTGAATATCTGTGTAAACCAAAAGTGATCAGTATGAACATTCTGAAAGCAGATAGTTGAAAATCAGGTCCTGCTTTAAACTCTGACCCTAGAAGCTGATTCCCTGCAGACAGATCCCATTTCCACTTGAGGGTCAGCTTGGGGGATCAGAGTCTTACTTCACTGCTAATAGCTGAGTGCCGGGGCTGTGTTTCCCCTGCAGGAACAGATGTCAAAAAAGAAAGATTTTTTACGTATTGTAACGAAACAGTCACATAGCCACAACATTCTAATTACTTTCAGGAAAATAATATTTTGCTTTTAAAAATTAACATTTTCCCTGAAACCAAGTTATTTTTTAGCTTGAACAATAAATAAATAAATAAATACATTAAAAAAAAATTAGAGTCTGCCAACTTATTTCCCTTAACCAGATCACAGCATGGCAGTACTTTATGAGCAGATGTCACTTTAGCTTTGTGCTTTAAAACTGATTACAGTTAGATACTTCCAGGTCAAAATTATTAAGGGCTGGTCTACACTACACAGTTAGGATGACATAAGGCAGCTGGGGCTTCAGACCTCCCTGCCTGCTGGGAGTCAGGCAGCCTTGTCAATTTCATGGCTGGATGAGCCATGAAATTGACAAGCCTGCCCTGCTCCTGGTGGGAAGCCAGTGGGGGGCATGGGAAGCCCAAAAAGCCAGGGCAGCTAGATCCCACTCCTTGGGGGCAAGAAGCCTGGGGCAGCTTCCAGCAGGGAACAGGGAGGGGAAAAGCACTGGGCAGCTCTCCCCGCTCCCAACTGGGACCAGACAGGGGGTAGGGGAGGGGAAGGCAGCCTTCCAGGAGCCCGGGAGCCTGTGGGGCAGCTGGGCTCCTGGCAGGGCTCTCAGCTCCTCACACTGCCCTTCTTAGGTCGGTGGAAATGCTCGTTGTGAGGACGTGCACCACCAACCCAAGGAGGGTAGTGTGGATATGCACTACCACAATAATTACTGCAGTGGCTTTAACTCTACTTAATATAGGTCGACTTGCATTTCCAGTGTAGACATACCCTTAGTGTAGTGGTTATCCCTGGTTCCTTAGAAAACAAACTTGCTGCTGGATTATCCAGACCAGCCAGATATTTTTTCAGTCAGAATGGATTTATAGCCTTGGATGACAAAATCATCCATCCATTCCTGGGGTACAATCGTACTCTGATTGAAGACAATGACAAAAATCTCACTAATGTCAATCACAGAGAGTCAGGCCCAGAATCATAGCAATTAGATATAGGAAAGACCCACTAGGTTGCCCATCCCATTGCCTTCTCAATACACGATTTCTCAGCACATTTCTAGACTGTATTTACAAATAGCCCTGTGGGCAATCACTCGAGCGCTCTCACATACCCCTTCCAGGTGCAGAGATCCACAATAAGAAATCCATTGTCTTCATAGGTGTTAATGTGATGGAAGAGGTTAAAGGCCGAGGTCCTATATTTAATATTGAGGTACTTTCCTTTTTTTTTATCTGCTACATGAAGCCAGACCTGGAAAACAAAGAAGCATTTTGCTTTTCGTACATGAGAAATAGTGAAGGTATATTTACCATGACACAACCTCTCATTTAGAAGGCCGGTATGTAACAGTGCAATGCAATTTCACTTACCCCCATGGTTTCATTAGACTCAAAGCAATCCATGTAGTTGGCTCCCCACAGACTCCAAGAAGAAAGGAATTTGAGCAGGTTAATTTTCACTGGTGTTTCCACAAACACTATATAGTTTGGAGTCAGCCCAAAGCTGTTCAGAAATACAGTAGGAGCTTGTAAGTTTGTTTGTGGTGATTTCTGACAAAAGTATGTTTATACACAGAATGGTGGCTTGTCAAATAGTGGCTGCTGCATTTGAAAGTTATGGATGTTATTGGAACATAATCCTCCTGATTTCTGCAGATTCTTAATGTTAGCTGGTGTTTACTGCATGCTTAGCAGTTTTGCTTCCCATGTATAAAACAGAAAGAATGTTTGAATAAACCAGTTTAAAAAAACCAATCAAACATTGTGCAAACTATATCTGTCCACATTACAGGACAGTTGTACCTTTTGTGTTATTTGCATAAATGACAGTGGGTTCTCTGCTAGAAATGGCTGTTTTCAAATGTGGCTCAAAGGTATGAAATACAGGTTTCACAGCAAGAAAAAGTCTCACTTTTCTGCATACAGAACTGGTTTATATATTTCACTGTGCTGTTGAAAGAAATGGCCTACAATTTACCTGTGCACATACGAGGGTTTAAATCTATCGCTGCAAGGAAACTGCACAACCACATTGGACTTGTTCATTGGATCTTTCTTGTCTGAAATAAAAATAGTATTTAAATGATTATGGAAGCAGCCCCAAGAATGGCTCAGTAACCCAATGCAACAAAATGTTAGCTAGGAAGGTTTTTGGCCTTTAACACAAGAAGTATTCTTTTCTGAAAATAACATGTACTGTCTTTTTAAAGAACAACATCTGTAAAAAGTTTCTTATAAAAATTTTAGTTAGATAAGGAAGGGACAGAAAAGAAAAAAAATCAAATAAAAAAATCATCTGAATACTGAAAAATGATGCAACGTTCAAAGGTGACAGATTAATTCGGCACCTGAAGGGATTCCTACAGCATGAATGTCTGAAGGGCACAGACATTGCTTTTAAGCAATACATAAACTAACCTGCTTGCAGTGGAGGGATCCTTACAATATTGTAGGCAATTGCAAAATTTTTTCCAAAGCAGTTGCCGATGTTATAAACCGTCCCATCATTTTCAATATGGGGGTGAGCAGTCAAGCCATTGATTGAAACATATTTGCAAAGGTCCACCTGAACAATGAGAGAGAGAGAGGTGACTTGGGGTGAATCACAAGCTTTTCTGGAGGAGGTATTTACTTATCATTATGAATGTAATGAAATACTTGGCTTGGGAGTGTCCTGTTATTTTAGGTAAGGAATGTTCTTGTTTCACACCTCTAGGTAAATTACCTACAAATATTTAGAGAAATAGCAGCAATGGCATGCACACAACTCCCATTTAAGTCAAGAGGAACTCTGTATGTAGAACTGTTGGGTCCAAAGGGAAAGAGTTTAAAAATAAAAAACAGCTTTGATGTCTCACGGGCAAGCTGTTGAAGGTGGCATTCAGGTTAGAGACAGTTCTGCATTCCTCCACTTGGGGGATCAGAATCCTTCCCAAAACCTCTAGCTCTGATCAAAGAAACAACACACTAGATTCAATTTTTCGGCCTTGACATAGAAATGTGAATTGTACCCTGCTGTAGTCCCTTTATGAGCTAAATTGGGGATTGGGTAGAATGGAGTGCCAGAAGAGAGTGAAAATGGAGGTGTGCTCATACTTCCATGCTGCAGTGGTATAAATGGTTGTGAGGGTACCTGATTGTAATGTCAAAGATTAAAGCAGCTCCCTTCACCTTGAACTCTGGTGCTACTTTCCAGAGTCTGCAAAGTCTGCATCAGCTCATGCACTCAGATTTTCAGGAGGCTGCACAGGAATATTGTTCTTTTGACAGCCATTACAAAAACCAAGTATCCTGGCAAAATAGACAGCAAGCCAATAAGCACAATGATGGCTCCACTTGGGGGGCCAGAGACAGGCAGTACAATTGTGTGTCCAGTGAACATTTTGCCCTGTTACCAGACCACTGGGACACCATTAGCACATGACTCCATGGCAGTCACTGGCTCATACTAAGGAATGCTCACTAGCTATGTCTTCTTTGCCATGCTACTCAAATAGGTCCTATAGGGAGGCTCAGGGCCGGCTCTACGTTTTCTGGCATCCCAAGCAGCCAAAAAAAAAAACCTGACGAATACGTCGCCGCTGGAGAGAACAGGAACATCGGAGGGAGCTGTCGGCAAATTGCTGCTGACGGCGAGACGGGAGTCAGAAGAGTCGCCGCCGAATTGCCGATGCGGGAAACAACGGAGAGGTGTTGCCACTGAATTGCCGCCAGGGCTGCTGCCAGAGTACCACCCCAAGAACAGTTGGAGTGCCGCCCCTTCAGCAGCACCGCCCCAGGCACCAGCTTGCTTAGCTGGTGCCTAGAGCCGGCCCTGGGGAGGTTGGCCTTGGGATAAAGGCACTGAACTGGGACATCTACCCCAGACTTCCTGAGTGGACAAATCACCGAAGGGAGGACGGCACCCAACACCCACTGAATGTCATTGGATTTTGAGCACTCAACTCTGAGAATCCTTTGAAAATTGCCAGCCTCAGTCTGTGTGTGTGTCTCAGTTTCCCATCTCCAAAAAGAGGATAATAGAACAGGTCCAGTTTTTTTTACCCCATGAACATTTTTGACACAAACAAAAAATATTAATTTTAGGCAAAATGTCCATGGAAAAGCTTTAAGTTTTTGGTGAAAACTGGAAACCAAAAGATGCTGGCTGCAAATGTGGGTTGTAGTATGTCATGGGAGCTATGCACCTCATATCCCTATTCTCCTGTGTGGGCTGGAACCCCAAACTGGACTACATCTCCCATAACGCCTCAGAGTCTCACTTTTTTGTGAGGAGAACTGTGGAACATGGAGTGCCTGGCTATGGTGCATTATGAGAGATATAGTTCAACTGGGGATCCCAGCCCCTAGAAGAAATGGGACCACGAAGAGCAAACTACAGCTTCTATGAGGTACCACAATGCTCATTTGTAGCCAAACTCTTTCAGTTTTCAGCTGAAAACTTTAGGTTTGGGCCAGAATATTTTGACATAAAATGACATTTTCCATGAGAGCAGACACATTTTTATGAAACAAGTAATTTTGTGGTGAAAACCCAATTTTCCATTGAAAAACAATTTCAATTGAAAATTTTAAGCCAGCCATAATAATAAATAATTAATAATAATAATAAAGAGGTGCGGTAAATTCATTGCTATTTGAGGTGCTTAGCAAATACAGTGTATAAGTACTTAGACAGATCGATAGCAGATGCACCTAACTTAGGGCCCAGTCTTGCAAACATGATTGGCATATTGCTTTCTGCTGTGAATAGACCCATGGACATCGCTGTTATCTGTAGAGTTGGGCTTTCAATTCTCATCAGCCATGGTCATGGATCCCAGTCACACTCCTCACCTGCACAAGTGTCTACTTTGTACATGAAGATGCACTTTGGTCATAGTTTGTAAGGCAGGATTTTAATAGAATCCTTTGATTTCAAGGGAGGAATTAATAAGAGGAGCAGACAGAACTCTTTAAAACAAAGATGCTATTTTCATCTGCAAGCATGATGTAAGCAGCATGCTGTAAAGAGAACATTGTCCCATTTTTCATGAAGCCTCAGAACCACTTTAATAAATGAATGATCAAGCTAGTTGATATCTTTATTAAAACTGCCCATTCCAGGTAATACCTTGGATCTTACCCTCTGTAATGTGCTACTGATAGAGTTTAAAAATGTGGAGGAATTACAAATAAAATGAAGACTAAGTATAAATATCTACCTGCTTGATTGTCTCCAAAGTCTCTGGGTTAATCTTGGTGATAAAGTTGGTCTCCGTGCAGGCATAGTAATCTTCACCCACTGGGTACACATTGACCAGGGCATTATCAGTCACCTCCACACCTCTGAAGTATGAAAAAAACCTGGGCCAACAAAGTCAACAAATGATCAATGATATCCTAGCAGTGGGGCTTTCAGACCATAACACCGAAAACATGTCACTCTTTTACAACATGCAACTCTCAGTCACCTGGAAAATATGTTCTTGCATGGATCAGGGTAAGCACAGGTGCCAAATTCAGTTATCACGATTCTTTTCTCAGTCATTGCTCTTACATAAGCATCAGTCCGAATGAACCTAGAGAAAGCCAAGAAATAGAAGGGATGTAATGGACATGACGACAAAAGTGGCTACAGTGTTATACAATGAAACAACTACTAATCCCTAAAATATTTAAATGAAACTCGATGTGAAGTTTAAAAGAGCTGAGTTTCATAACATATTTCTGCAATCAAGAGGGTCATGTCACATCTCAAGGGTATATAACTCTGAAACCTGCTTCTCTCTCTCCCCAAATGCTCAGACATGGGAAACACCTGGGAAGTTGATGACCAGGTAAAGCTGGAACCCCTCTTAGATTTTGACTTCAATGGGAATTTTGCCTAAGGACTGCAGACTTGAGACTTTTCTTAGTGGTTTTCTGGAATGGCATCAGTTATGTCTTCCTTGGAAGCTCACATGTCCTATTCAGGATTGGACAGATGTTTTTTCCTTGGAAAATCTCAACATTTCATCAAAAAACAAACCCTCAAACTGAATTCTTTTTTAAAATAAAAAAGATTTGAACTTTTTTGGTTTTTGGCAGATTTTGCCTGACCAAAATCCATAGAATGTTCAGTTTTTGGTTTTCTCTCTCTCTCTCTCACACACACACACACACACACTTCAAGGAAAACAGACTCTCTCCACTAAAAATGCCTACTGTTGAAAAATCTTTCAATGGAAAATTTTCAACCAGCCCTAATCATCTTGTATCCTAGATTGATCAGCTTGGATGCCAGTCAAGTATCTGGACCTTCAATATGAAACAAATGTTGATCCTGCCAAATTGAAACAGATACTTATATACTTTGTTGAATATAAAGTGGCAGTACATTTTGGGTGCAAGCACAGAACCCCAAGAACTACAAGAGTGTTCTACATTAATGGTCCAAAACTCTGCACTAACAAGAGGCTAAACTACAGGGTTTTGACCATTGCTGTAGGACACTGCAACAACTTTCATAAAGGACTTTAGTTAACTAAAGGAAAGCAGAGTTGTCTAGTGATTAAAACCTGGGACTGGGAATCATGAGTCCTAGCTCTGTCACTTGAGGAAGCTTGAGGAAGTTACTTAACCTCCTTCTGTACCCGTTCTCTTATATGTAAAATGACCCAGTTGAAAAATGCATGCATTCTGTAATCTTTAAATGGAAAGTGTTATGTTAGTGCTAAGCATAAATATGATGTTACCATTATTAACAATTTATAATAATCCCAGCATTAGAGATTTTACAATCAGCTAATTGACTTGAAGTCAAGGTGAATCCTGCAGGCATCAGAGGGCAGAATATGGCCCTAACATTTTGTATTTTATCTCTTTATATTTGCTTTGATGTTTTGCACTTACCTGCGATGGTATGTGACATGCCCCTCCTTAAAGTCAAATTTATGAAGAAGTGCTTGGCCATCAAACAGATGATAAAATGGTTCCGAACCAACTTCAAACAAACCAGGCCCACATCTAAGCAGACTGCCTGTAAGCCATATGGGAATCCTGCCTATAAGAAAGGTAATCAAGAGGTAATTTTGTGAGTGCTAATTCCAAGATAAAACAGGTTTTTCTTAAGGGTCATGTGAGAAGAATAAACATTCCAAGTGCACCATTCCTCTTTCAATATGAGTTTTCCCTATGTTTATTAATCTCTTATTTTCACAAGGAAAACTGGGCTCTCACAATCTCTGAGATCAGTTTTTTCTTATTCTGCAGACTTAATATCTAGAATAAAGCCAAGTATGGAACAAAATAAATCAGCAAATTGTTATTATGCAAAGGAGCAGATTTTGTTTTTTAATGTAGAAGATTTTTTTTTTTTTTAACATCTATTGAATTCCAATCTCTTTCCACCTCCTCTTCAAGATTTAAAAATGAAAGGAACTTAGAATTTAGTAGAAGAGTGAGCTATGAATCTGAATTCTCAATTAAAATTATAATGATCTTCCATTATACAGGATTCCAAGTCACCTTACAAACCTAACTAGTCTGATGTACAACTTTATATAGGGATTACTTCGTCCACCACTGAAACCCAGCCTCCTCCAAGGTGAAACACAGCAACTACTTAAGATTGCATAGTAATACCACCAGAGGTGAAAGTAAGCCGGTACACCCCGGTACGGCATACCGGTAAGAGCCGGTGCGCCGTACCAGGACCGGCTTTTAGAGAGGGCAATTTAAAGCCCTGGGGTAGCAGCGGCGGGGCTGCGGGGCTGCAGCCGGGATTTAAAGGGCTCCAGCCGCTGCTATCCCCCTGCCCCGGGGCCCTTTAAATCCCGGCCTGAGCCCTGCTGCCTGAGCCCTGGGGTAGGGGTGGGGTGGGGCTCTGGCGGGAATTTAAAGGGCCCCGGAGCTCCAGCCACCGCTACTGCCCCGGGGCCCTTTAAATCCCCGTCTGAGTCCTGCTGCCTGAGCCCTGGGGTAGCGGCGATGGGGCTCTGGCGGGGATTTAAAGGGCCGGGGCGGTAGTGGCGGCTGGAGCCCTGGGGCCCTTTAAATCCCCAATGGAGCCCGGCCACCACTACCCCAAGGCTCGGGCAGCAGGGCTCCGGCGGGGATTTAAAGGGCTCGGGGCTCCGGCAGCTGCTACCACAGCGGAGCCCCAGGCCCTTTAAAGCTCTGCCAGAGCCCAGAGCCCTGGGGTAACGGTGGCAGCTGGGAGCCCAGGGCTCCTCAGTGATTTAAAGGGCCCGGGGCTCCACTGCGGTAGTGGCAGCTGGAGCCCTGGGCCCTTTAAATTGCCCCCGAGCCCCAGGGCTCCCAGCCGCCTCTGCAGCTGGTAGCTCAGGGGTGATTTAAAGGGCCCCAGGCTCCCAGCCACCACTACCGCAGCCGGAGCCCTGGCCCTTTAAATCAAGATTTAAAGGGCCCGGGGATTTAAGGCCCTGCCTCTTCCGGTTGAGGCCACGCTCCCTGCACAGGACTCCGGCGTACCGGTAGGTCCTCTAACTTACTTTCACCCCTGAATACCACACAATAATTCTGGACAAAAGATGAAGAAGTATACTGCACACATGTTAAGATGCAAGAGGAATTTACAGGCAAAATGCCAATTTTAGGAAGATCATTGCTTTCAAAGCTGGAGTTTGACACCAGAGTTACCATCCCTGTTCTTACAAAAATGCCGTGGGATCTTTAATGACCACAAGAAGTCAGGTTTTATGTCTCCAAAAGATGTTACCTCCAGTGCTTCCTAAGAACATACTTGGCCATGTATTATTTCAGTATTGACTCTCAGAAAAGAGTGCGACCTATGGAACTGTCAGTTCTATTTCTTCAGCTGTTAGGTGTTCCTACAGGTCTGTCCTGGTAAAGACTCAGCTTGATTAAAAGATCTGATGGGATCACAGCACAGGGTATAAAAGGAATTTGGGCTTGTCCAGAAGCACCTGCTTCCACTACCCTGAGATGTACAGGCCACTGTGCTTCCTGCCCCTGTGACATGTTTAACCCATTTATCTCACAGTGCAGCACCCTGGGATCAGATGAGCAACATTCATTGACCCTGGGGAGAAGTGCTGGATTCCGAGGAATTGTGAAAAGAAAGCATTAGAAATGTACAAACCTGTGACATGAGCAGTTACTGGTGCAGCCAATTCCTCTGCAGTCTCAAAAAGCTTCTTGTATCCACCAGCTGGGTGCTCAATTCTGAAAGGTTTTAAGAGAGCTTACATAAGAGCTCTGGAAATGTGTCAGAGTTACAGGGCTTTGTTTCTAGATGGGATCATTTCTGACTCACACTAACTCTTAACAAAGCTGCACGATCAGCTTGAGGAGAAGCAGTGGCCCTCAGAAGAATGAAGGTTTGAATGGACCTGAGGGGAAACCTGATGAGCTGCATTAACTGATTAAAAATAACACAGAGACTTTGAAGAAAGAGAGTGAGCATCATCATGTGCCTTCACTGCTGGGAATCAGAACTGAACTAACGTTTCTGAATGCCTCAGCCCCCGGCGGCTGCTCTACAACAGGGCAAAGCCGTAATACTATTGGCAACGGGTAGAGAAACCCTGAGGTCAGGGAAGTGGGCTGTGATTTTAGTGCCAAGAGTCACAAGTTCCATTTCCCAGGCCTCAGGTAAATAGTTTGCTGCCAACTGTAATGTGTGTGTATGGCTAAAAATCATACACTTGATTCTCCTCCTGCCAAGTACAGACTACAATGTCCAACGCACTCTAAATATAGACTATACTCCGCACTGCACTACCCTGCCCTCTCATCCAGAGGTACAGACCATCCTCCTGCCCCCCCAACTGTAACCCCCCAGAACAGTATGCACACCCGAACTAGCATACAGAACATACTGCACCCCTAAACACAGACTGAAATTCCTCCCTGACTCTGGTGCAGCCTGCTGTCTAGGACCTGGTCACCCTCTCTCATTGCTACTGTAACGTTCCCCCTCTGTGCCTGATCCACAAAGTATGCACGTCTGTTACAGCCAACTGCTAGAGTGTGGCTCTTTAGCACATGTTGCGGACTTTCAGCTTTCAGCTCTGGAGGTCCCCTGTCAGTCCCTGCTTATGACAACCATCACATTGCTCCTTGGAGAGCAGAGTGCTGCATTATTCCCATATACTGCAACTTCTGAAGTGGGTTTCCATTTCTGAGAATATAACAAGCTGCAATAAGATGCTATGTGCAATAATCTCGGTAGGTAAATTCAGGTATCTAGTAAATCCAGCAGATCCAGCTGTAGCATGGAGGAGGGAGGAAAGAGCCAGACAGTGTAACTCCTTCCCCCAATACTCCCCATAGGAGGGGAGAGCTGATATCAGGCTTCATATGGCCCCCGCCCCCACTTCAACCATGTGAATTTGGGGAAGAAAATCTCCTGGGAGGAGCCAGTCAGTAGGAGCAGAGATAAGCAGCTGTAGCCAGCACCTTCAGAAGTTGGTGGCATCATCAGCACTCAATGGATTTCACTGTGAAAACTCTCTCCCCTGTGCTGACTGGCTATTTGCTTCCCCCTTTCCCCACAGTCTCTTCCCTTCAGCCTCCCTCCATGCTTCCCTTCCCTTAGTACCATCTCCCTTCCTTTGTCTGTCTGGTTAGCTAATTCCCTCCCAGCAAAACTCCACCAAATAAGTTTAAAACAAGCAATCAAAGAATTGTGGCACTAACTTGATATTTGCATCCTATTACATTGCTCCCTCCGCTCATGTGCTTTATCTCCCTTGCCTTCCTTCCCCCCCAGCATGTCTGTGTCCTCTCCTCTACTTAGAAAGTAAGCTATTCAGGGCATGAACGATCTGCTACTCTGGTTGTACTGTGCCTCGCACAAAAAGGGACCCTGCCTGAGAACGGAGCCTCCAGGGGGCTATTGTAATACAATTACTACATTAATAATAAGCACCAAGTCTCTAGTCCAGAGAAAAGCCTGTAGGGATACTCACTGGCTGGACATTTTCTCCCTGATCAAGGATTTGAGCTTTCCAGAGCCAACTGCGGAGTGTGGAAGTCAGAGCTGTGTGCTGGGTATTTATATGAGTGGTAAGTCCCACTGAAGGGAGTTATAGCCTCAAGGAAATCATCCCAACCAATTAGCTTGTACCAGGGAACAGAAGTTGCTTTCACCACTGAAATCCTCCTGACCCTTTATTTATTTGTATTGCTGTTCACACAACAAAGTCTTTGAATGTTTTCCAGAGACTTAATTCCTTCCCAAGCAGAAATGGATTACAAAGAAATAAGAAGGGAAAGAGAGTGCATTTGAATCACACAGTCTGTAATGTGCTCTGCCCTTCACTACCACCACCACTAAGACTGGCTCTGTGCATGGCGCTGCTGGATCTGAGCCGCAAGGAAACAGTCTCCCAATGCACACCTGAGGGACAAAGAATTCTCTCTCTCTCTCTCCCCTCCAGGGAGTCTGTGTATCAGGCACTAGACCAGGCATCAGGAGATCATGAATTCTCTTCCCAGCTTTGCCACTGACCTGCTGTGTGTGACCTTGGGGAAGTCCCTTCATTTCTCTGCATCTGTGACCCTGTCTGTAAAAGAAGGATAACTTCACTTTATCCTTAAATGTGAAGCCATTTAATATCTATAGATAAAAAGTGCAATATCCGTGTGTAACCCTTCTGCCCGTCAGAGTTGGCAGCAACAAGGGCCGGGTTCAGTATCTAGGGGTTCCATTCCAATAACACAATGCAAAATCAGCTCAAGCCCCCACCCAGTGACCTGGGACAAATATATACCACCCCCGCTGGGCGCCTCCAAGAGGCAATACTTCCCCTCTCACAAGCACAGAGTCTGAGTGTAGCAAAAGCCTTTTAATAACAGAGAGAAACAATATGGCATTATGTTGGGGAAACACCACCAACATGATTCATAACACAACCCATGAGCAAATTGGGGCGTGTCCTTTCCCTTTGGTTCTTGAGTCCAGCAACCCAAAGTCATCCAAAGTCCCAAAAGTCCAACAACCCAAAAGTCTCTGTCCCTGGTCAGTGTAGCTCCAGAGTTCAAAAGTTTATCTGCAGAGTTTTACCTCCCAACCTGGTTGGAGATGGGGGGGGGGGGGGGAGGGAGTGTTAAGGGGCACCTTACATGGTCCAAAGCCAAGTGCTCCAACTCTCCATGGGGCTCTGCTCCGCTCCACCAGCAGTCCCACAAACTGCTCTGCTCCACCAGCTGCTCTGCTCTGCCAGCCGTCCCATGAACTGCTCCACAATATATCTTCAGGCCCCCCCACTATTTAACACAACACTCAGTGATTTCAGCTCTTAGTAAATTTAGCTCTTTTGTGATTTCAGCTTGTAGTAGGGGAGCCTCAGTGCTGGTGCACCATTGGCCCAAAGTGAATTCAGCTCAGCAGCCTGTAACTAGACTCCTAATGGAATCAAAATTAGCTCTGTTTCAGAGTAGCAGCCATGTTAGTCTGTATTCGCAAAAAGAAAAGGAGTACTTGTGGCACCTTAGAGACTAACAAATTTATTTGAGCATAAGCTTTCTTGAGCTACAGCTCACTTCATCGTATGCATTAGCTCTGATATTCCACAGTGGAGAGAGGAGGAAGTACAATTAGCATGTAAGGCCCTCACCAGGGGGCCCATACCACCAGGTATTAATACCTGTCCCCAGCCTCTCTCCATTCACTAAGTTTTGGAACCCATGTCCCTGGCCTAGCGAGTGCTACTTAGTTGATGTCGAGTCCCTCCATCATAACAAAAGGCCAAGTACAGTTCCACTGTCCTTGATTCACATAATCAGGATAATAAGAATTTACTCTTCCTGCCCCAATAACAGAGAAACTGGGGATCCCACAGCAGCCAAAGTGACCATTTGGGCAGCTATGGGTTCATGCTAGGCGGGGTGGGTGTGCCTATGCAAATGAGATCAGCCCCTGAAGTTCTTTTCCACAACTTGCCACAACTCACCACCAGATGTCAGGGTGGAGCTCATCCTGATTCTGCTTACAAGTGTTTAGATAATAATCTTATGTAGCTATTCCGATGGTCCAGGGACATCTACATCGAACACATCACCGGCCACTGACAGTACCAGGAGGTGTGAGCCGGTACAACATCATGCATCAACTATGGGAAAGGGACTGAGAGACTTTTTCCATTGGACCATATAAACTGGAACCATAAACTCTCTGAACATTAAATCCCACCAAATGAGGGTAAATCCATCCTCATCATCGTATCCACTCATACTCCACACCTGAACATAGCCATTATATGAACAACATACCCCCATATCTCAATGTCTGTACTTTGACCTTTTAAACTTTTACCCCCAATCGGGGAAGATTGCAGATTATGTATTCCTTACGCCACCTGTTCCTAAACAGAATTTCACACCCCTTGATAATCTGTACCTTATTCCCTGATAACCAGAAACTTCTATGCTTGAACTCTATACCGTTTTCTTTTTACTTCAACATCATCTTAATAAAATTATTAATTCCTAGTGAGTCTGCAACTTTGCTACTGATCCACTTCCCATCCCATTCTGATTTAGCATTGACCACTTCCCATATCTGTCTGCTACTAATTCCATTCCCCAGCCTTGTGCCATGGATGATGTCTCTTCCTAGCCTCAGTGTACCACACTACGCATCTGTTACCATCTGCTTCCCTCCCCGCCACCCCATGTTGGGCCTGCCACTGATTGCTGTACTGTGACTGGCCTTAAAAACTTGCTACACTGCAGTAGATAATACCTTAAACAAACCATTTTATCTAAGCCCATGCAGTACTCCCTATAATAAGAATAAGGTAGTTCAGGTACTGTGGGACAGGGATTGTCTATACCTTTTGTCTTGTACAGCACCAAGCACACTGCCAGTGTGTAACAAAAATCCATGCATAATAATACTGAGGTAACTGTATCTATTTATCGGATACAAAGTTTGATAGCTTTTAAGGGGACAGCAACTTGTAAGCAGCAAATTTTTAAGTCTGATCAATGTTGGCTCTCAATAGCTATCAGTCTCTGCTATGCAGACATCCACATCTCTGCAGGAACCCTGGGGCTCTCCTTGCATAAGGCCCATCTAATGTGGGAGGAGCTATTGCAAATGCATCTCACCTATCAGTTGAGCAGGAGTTGAGATTCAAGAAGTTTCTGGTTCATTGAAAGTGCCAACTTAGTATTTCAGTTAAAAAAATTACGAGGCCAGATCCTCAGCTAGTGTAAAGCAGCACACCTCCATTGGACTTCAATGCAGCTACATCAGTTTACATCAAGTGAGGATCTGGCCCTCAGCGTTTCATTTTTAGTGGGCATCATATTAACAATGACAAGATATTTGCTAGGATTCTCGTGGTTTGTCATTGCTTGACATGAAGTGCTTAGCCTGATTTAATGGTGTAATATCTAGCTAAACAACTTAGCCCTAGAATAAAAATGGCATATCCTCTTAACCACAGGCATGCAAACTCAGAACACACTGCTGCTTCATTACTCCAGACTGGGAATTGTGTCTTAGCAAACATATTCCATGCACATGGCCTGTTGCCTGCCTGCACACGTATCTGTTAGAACGGACCGATGACGATCATACATTGACCAAACTCCTACATGGGTCAACACTACAACAGACATCTTTCTATTGGAAAACCATCTTTAGTGACTATGTTGTCACACTGGCACCAAGTCTTCTTAAACAGGATGGAACATACTGATACATCTTTGCCACAGAATGATTACGGGCTAGTTTATACAACCATTCATGCTGAGTAGCACCTTATCCCATTGAGGTCAATGGGCTATTACCTCATGAATAGTCCCTTGTGAGTTATGACATCTCAGTCTGGCCCTATGTAAACAATTCAGGAAAGAGAGGCCTGGAGTTCATTTACAGGTACTTCTGACAGATTGTCCACTGCACTAGGTATCAGGCATCTTTCTGTCAATTAAAAATTTAACAATCTCTTTTCAAAGCAATATACAGTTACTAGTTAATTAATAATCCTCAAAACCCCTGACAAGTATTAATGTTCTCACTTTGCAGATCAAGGAACTGAGAGACAGATGCTGTGAAGAAATGGATTAAGCTAAACTGTGCTAAATCACTCAGACCAAAATAAGAGTTCTACACAAACTTACACCACATCAATTTAAAAACACATCTTTAGTTAAACCAGTGCAAGTCTATGTGTAGACCAGTGTGTGTGACAGGGCTGAGATTAGACCTCAGGAACAAGCTCCTAGTTCTTTGTCCAATCCACTACGTCATGTCGCTGCAGCATGTAGAGATGGTTTAATATTCAGGGAGAGAGAACTGGATTCTATCTGGCTCATCCATCATCATCATAATAATCAGGGGCTGGGGAATGCCATTTAAAGTGAGAGGCCCATAGATTTGCTTCCCTCCTTCTCCTCTCAGGCCCCTCCACTACCTCACTATCCTTACCCCCCTAGGCCACGAGCCCCTCCGCCCTCCACAGCGGGGCCAAATATGAGTTGAGTGAATGGCACTGCAACTTGACACTTGTGGTTGTAGTGCCACTCAGGTTTGGCCTGGCCAAAAAATAGTCAGGCCATGGCCCTCGTGCCCACACTCACCCCACCCAAGGCTCCCTGTGCTACAATTATAATGGTTAACTAAATCCCCAGTACAGAATCTTTACTGTCAGTGATGCATGAACCAGGGGAAAAAAAACAAACAAGTTTAACTTTTAAATCCCAGACTAAGTTTGTAGAGCTGGGTACTAAACCCCATCTTTTCACGTGTAGAATGAAGAAATTAGTTCTCGGTTCACTGAGACACAAACATGGAACCCCACGATGCAAATTTTACAGAGTCAGTTTTCAGAACAGAAATATACTTTAAGAACAGAGAACACTATTACTATATTGTACACAACTCTGATAGGCTACAGGAAACTGAATGAACTCAACTGATAAATTAATTGGTCCTCCTGGCTAATTTTAACTTTGCACCATGGTACTTAAAATGAATACTGCCCAGTTTGAAGTAGATTTTTTAGAATGAGTCAGAAAGAAAACTGACAACTCCATAGCGGTTTAGTTTAAAATG